TCTCACTTTGTCCTTTGTTACCCCGACGCCCTTGCGGGTGTAAACAAAGCGAATGTTCTGGAACTTTCCGTTGACTTGCCCGTGCGAACCCCGAAAGTCTTTTCGACACGAGGCGTCCCTTAAATTTTCCACAGCACTTTACACACGTTTTCACCCACAATCCGGCTCGAAGGACCACTGTTTGGTCTGAATTTCTAGGGTTAGGGTGGATGTGGGATGAAAATGTGGAGGGAGATGTTGGGAAAATTATGTTAGGCGTTTTATAAAAAATCACAATATATTTTCGTGGGATCGAACCACTTGTCACTATTGCTTTACACTCTTTGGTATATTTACTGTTGAATGTCTAATTTTCACTGATAATAGTCTTGTCACTTTTATCTCGTTTAGTCACTGAAATTATACTGAACTTAATCAACAAGTTGATGTACTGAACAAAGATATTAAATTTAGAATACTGATTGACTGAATACTCTAGCTCATTATCGTAACGATACTTCAACACTACTGACTACCGACTCTTCCGGGTGCCGCGCTGATTTGTGTCCGTTGACCCGAAAGTTCACGGAGATTTTCGGAGATGGCCGAGTTAGTCGACCGTGACCAATATGGAGATTTAGGCTGTATTTCGAACAAGCTTCGATGACATTTTTCCCTAACATCACTTTCTCCTGAGATGAATGAGTAATTTTGGAAAAAATTGGGAGTCGACGAATTATCACTCATCATAAAGGTTAAGCGTTTCAGGAAGTTCTAGGATTTTTTACGTTACACGTCATCAGAGTCAAACGTCACGAGGGTCACAAAGGAACGGTCAAATTTCATGAGAGTCAAACGACACAAGAGTCACAAGTGGATGATCAAATTTCACGAGGGTCCGAAATAATTACGTGGAAAATTCAGTAAAGCTGAATAATATTGATACCATTGTCCTTCTTACAATTGAGAGTCTGCGATAGTTCCATTCGACTTTTCAGGATCGTTTAAGCATCGTATTCCTGTGTGACTCTTGTGACCCTCGCAATGTTTGATCCTCGTGAAATTTGCTCATCTCTTTTTGACGTTGGACCCTCGTAAAAAATGGCCATTGTAACATTCAACCGTCGTGAAATTTCGTTATTCCTTTGTAACTCTCGTGACGTTTGACCCTATTGAAAATTTAACGATCCCCTCGTGAACCTTGGGACGTTTTATCCTCATAAAATTTGACCATCCTCTAGTGACCCTCATGACCCTCGTTACGTTTGACCTTCTTGGAAATTTGACCATTCATTTGTCACCCTCGTGAAATTTGCCCTCATCCCCTTGTGACGTTTCACTCCCGTGACATTTGACCATCCCCTTGTGACCCTCGTGAAATTTGCCCTCATCCCCTTGTGACGTTTCACTCCCGTGACATTTGACCATCCCCTTGTGACCCTCGTGAAATTTGCCCTCATCCCCTTGTGACGTTTCACTCCCGTGACATTTGACCATCCCCTTGTGACCCTCGTGAAATTTGATCGTCCCTAGCTAAATGAATATCCAAAAAAAAAGTGGTATTTGATTTTTTTCTCGTAAAATCATTTATTATCGAGATAAATCCATATGAGGCGGGATATGCAGAATGTGCTCATTTCATACTAGCACATGGCTACAAAAGTACATAAATAAAATTTTTTTTAATCATTAAACCGTTCATTATCTTCCCTTTAGATATTCTTTGAACCCCCCTCGGAAAATCACACCCGGAATCGAATATTTTATGACTATTTTTAGACTTTAAAGTTGATTTAATTTTTTTTACGTGTATTTTGAATTAGAAATACAAATGACCTGTGAGCGACACCTAAATATTGATCGATTGCAGTTAATTATACGGCATTTTGAACATCTTTTCATACGCCAACACTTTTTAGGGTACGAGTGAGAAAAAAATATAGGGCTGAAATTTTATACGCCATAGTGCACACGTACAAACATACGACATACCCCCGGAAAAATATTTTCAATTTCCATTTGTGTTCCTCTCAGGGCCAACAGTACCTCGCAGACGTTGGTTCGGTTGCTATGGCCCGCTCCACTGGCCTGCACGATAATACTCGAGAAAAAAAATTGTACCGAAAAATAATGGATTTCTATCCTCATTAGTTCCCCTGATTTGACGCCGCTAGACTTCTTCCTTTGGGGCTATCTGAAGGAACAAGTCTATGAGTCAGAGCCAGAGAGCGTGGAGGACTTAGGGGCGCGACTACATGCAGCCGCAAACAACGTGGATGCTGAAATGCTCCAGTATGTTAAGGTGGAAGTCCTTAGGAGGATTCATGCCTGCGTGGCTGCTGGAGGAGGCCATTTCCAGCAACTGCCAGCATGAAAATCCGTCACAATCGGCCCTTTTCAGGGCCACCAAAAATTTGACGTGGCACAGCAAAAGATTTTGGAGGCAAGAGAAAGTGAGAAGATTTCATGTGGGTCGATGGATAAGGGTGACTTCGGAGGGATGATTTGAGTTCAGACTCATTTCACAATCCCCTTTTTCATTGCGCCAAAATTTCCACCCACCCAATACGTGCGGGGGTGGCTTCCACCCCCGGAAAAATGTTTTCCCTCTAATGCTCTTAAAGTTCTCCCCATTTCGCCGTTTCTCCGTAAGAGCGCGCGGTCTCTTCGCCCGTACCTCAAGTGGCCATTCGTGGCCTGAAAGCATTAGAGGGTTAATTTGCCTCAATCCGTGCGAAGTGAAAGCAAAAAGCGAAAAAAAGTACTCAGCCCCCTTTTGGACACATGATTTGGGCTCAGACTCATTTCTCAACCCCTTTCCCTCATTGTGTGAAAATTTCAACCTCCCCGGTACGTGCCAGGGTGGCTTCCACCTCCAGACAAATGATTCATTTACCTCAATACGTGCGGAGTGAGAACAAAAAATATAAAAAAATACTTACCCCCCTTTAGGAGCCATGATTTGGGCCCAGACTCGTTCCTCAACCGCCTCTCATTGTATGAAAATTTCAACCTCCCCGATAAGTGCGGTGGTGGCTTCCACCCCCTTACAAATATGACATTTAGCTCAAAACGTGTGAACTGAGAGCAAAAAAAATACCTACCCCTTTTTGGACCCATGATTTGGGCTCGGACTCATTTTTCAACTCCCTCTCCTCACTGTGTGAAAATTTTAACCTCCACGATATGTGCGGGGGTGGATTCCAGCCCCTCACAAATGTTTCATTTACCTCAATACGTGCGGAGTGAGAACAAGAAATTTAAAAAAAAATGCTCGCCCCCCTTTTGGACACATGATTTGGGCCCAGAATCGTTCCTCAACCCCCTCCCTTCACTGTATGAGAATTTCGACCTCCCCGATAAGTGCGGGGGTGGCTTCCACCCCCTCGAAATATCCTGTTTTCCCTAATCCATGCAAACTGAGGGCAAAAAGCGAAAAAAAAATACTCACCCCACTTTTGGGCGCATAATTTGAGCTCGGACTCATTTCTCAATCCCCTCCCCTCACTGTGTGAAAATTTTAACCTCCCCGATACGTATGAGGGTGGCTCCCACCCCCTCACAAATGTTTCACTTACCTCAATACGTGCGGAGTGAGAACAAAAAATTGAAAAGAAAAATACTCACCCCCCTTTTGGACACATGATTTGGGCCCAGAATTGTTCCTCAACCCCC